CGGGCATATACTCATCAGAGTTTATTAGCATCTCAAGCGACTGAGGGTGGTGAAGGATCCTGACTTCATCTATGAGACAGATATAAGGTACATGCAAACGAGGCAAGGCTGGCCCAAACTGAGATGCCTGCAGTAATCGAATATCTCGATTCAAGTTTGAGGAATTATTTGCAGAAGATAGGCAATTGTAACCAGCCTCAACACCATATTGATGGAATGTGGCATTAAAAAGGACCTCAAAAATCAGGTAGGAGTATTTAAAGGGACAACTCAGTCCCTGATCATGTCTGCAATTGTTTTTTCAGCAATGTTGGCTCAGAGTTGCTGAGATAAAAATGAGGTGAAGGAGGTATATTGGGGCAGGTTTGATGGGGTTATTAGTCTGCTTTGTTCCACAAACACTCTCAGGGTTGGTGGTTAATGGTCAGGGACAGGAGGATGTGACTGACTGCAAGTCAGGCAGGTATAGGGGACCTAGCATGTAATGGAGCAGCCTTAGTCCCTGGCTTTGCCCGACAGACATGAGATGATTGCGACCTGTGTGGTTGAACAGACAGATGTGCAGGAAACTGGGACGGTGGCTGGGGGGGAGGGTGTGGGAATGTATAGCCAGGGAAACAGACAGCATTCTCTACAGCCATGACTGGGAACTCCGAGGGTTGTGTTGCCTGCCCATTTCTAAGGTCAAAGACTCCTCATCAGCTGGTGAGGATTGGAATGGGAGGGGGAGGATCCAGTTGGCATGGTCCACATAGGCACCACAACACAGGAAGATGTGGAAATGTAAGTTTCAGGAATTCAAGTTCAGAGTCTCAAAGGCAATTATCCAGGAATTGTTAACCCAATCATATGCCAGTTGGTGTAAGGTCAGGGTGATTCAAAAATTAATTGCATGGCTCAGAATGTGTTTGGATTAATGGGGAACTGGCATCAGAAAGTGAATCAGCTAATACCAACCTGCAGCAAGAATTGGATAATATCAAAACCCAGTTGGCAGGTACCAAGGAAAAGGGCCAGGTAAAGATCATCAATCCTGACTCTCAATTAAAAGAAAAACAGAAAAAAAAACTTACATTCAGTTAGGTTGCAGGATCTTCGAAAGCACTTCACAGTCCATGACGTACATTTTGCAGTGCAGTCACTTTTCTAACATAGTCAAGAGTCATACAGCACGGAAACAGACCCTTTGGTCTAACTCATCCACACCGACCAGACATGCCAATCTGATCTAGTCCCATTTGCCAAAACCTGGCCCACATCCCTCTAAACCATCCCCACTCATATACCCATCCAGATGCCCCTCAAATGGTATAATTGTACCCACCTCCACCACTTCATCTGGCAGCCTGTTCCATACACGCACCATCTCTGCATGAAACGTTACCTCAAGTCCTTTTTAAATCTCCCCCCCCTCACCTTAAATCAATGTAGGAACTACACAGCCAATGTGTGCACAGCAGGATCCCACAATCAGCAATATGGCAAAAGCCAGATAATCTCTTTGAGTGATGTTGATTGAGAAATATGATCAGGTAGAGGATCTTGCTCTCCTCCTCTTCAAAATCATGTTTAGGGCCTAAGTATAACATTTTACCTCAGTGAAGCATTCGTGATCAGACTTATATGCTCTGGATGGGTGAGAGGAATCAGTGGTAGTTGAGAGTGTGGAGCTTGGGCTATTGTTCTGGATTATTGTCCACCCACCCATTACCCCTTATGATGTGTGGAAATAAGCCATGCACACACCCCTTCCTACAATAGAATAGATTGTTCGTGGATATGATGCCACATGTAGTCAAATAACCATGCGATACAGCCATCTAGTTTCTCATGATGAATGACCACTTTGAAAAGATGATCTGAATCATTAAATAAACTATTTCGTCTTTCATCCAAGTCCTCATCACAATTGCACGACACTTTTTCAACAATTTTTAAAGCCTGTGGGTTGGTGAATAGAGTAACACAGGATGTCCTGACATAAAGCTAAATAAATAAATGCATAAACACAATTATGGTAATGACTTTTTTCACCTGATAAGCAAAAGCTGGGTAGACGCCATGAAACAGCATCAAAAAGTTGACTGAAATGTGTGATTGAGTAAGGACAATGTATAGCTGTGAAGTGGTGATGTGCATTAAAATATACAACAGGGACATGTCAATGTTGGTGATTTAGGGAATAAAAGCCCATGGCTGGACTGTGCTTTCGTGTCAGAAAAGACACAAGTTAACAACAGTCATAATCACTCGAATGCCTACAGCACAAAAAAGAATTTGCATTTCTATGGTACCTTACACAACTTCAGTTTGTCTCATAAGTGTTTTACAGCTAGTGAAGTCATTCAAAGTTAAGTCACTCAAACTGGAATAATTAGGGTAAGGATGGAGATTGGGACTGGGAATAATAATTGAGAATTGGCCCAAGTGAAGCCAGTTATAAATTTAAATGCTGAAGTACATCAATAGCAACTTCAATCATCAGCAGGATTATACCTTCAGCAGAAGCTTGACTGTAATATTTAAACATTTGAATAAAAGCAAAATACTGGGGGATGCTGGAAATCTGATGCAAACACAGAACTGCCTGGAAAAGCTCAGCAGGTCTAGCAACACCTGTGAGGAGAGAAATAGAATTAACTTTGAGTTTATTATGACTTCTTCAGAACTGAAAAGTGTTGGAAATTTTTTTCATATAATTTTGACAGAGGCAGAGGAGGAACAAGTAGGCTGATGGTATACAGTGCAAAAAACAAACAGGTTCTGAATGGTGAAAGAGAGAAGGCTGTAAAAAGGGTGTAAATTATGATGTGAAAGGATCCTCTTTGTTAAGAGCAAGGAAAACAGGAAACAACTGTGGGGGAAGGGAGCAAGAA